TAAGAGGAGGGGTTTTATAATAAAGTAAAAAACAACAGCAAGGGGGTGAAAGTTGAGAAGAAGGAAACAAAAGGAGAAATTTTTTACTTTTTCATAAAATATGCAACTTGACTAAAATTAGTCTTTAAAAATTTTAATTTAAAATTTTAGTCTTTGAAATTAATAATCGTCAATCATGTTAGTTCTTATTGTTAAAAAAATGTTAAAATTAAATAAATGAGTGATGATTTGTCACATTAACTAACACATGATAATTTATTTTGGACATAAAATGATTATATTTTAGAATATTTCAAAAATATGTCATTTTTGTCTTTGACTTTTGAAATTTTCAGGCAATAAGTTCATTTATTGTTTCATGACATCTTCCTCCCTTTCTTTGGCCATTACTTCTTTGCCTTCCATCACAGTAACCTCATTCTCTCTCCATAACTCAACACTTAGACTTTATTTGAGAGTTTGGAAGGAGAGAGAAAAAAAAAAGTTTAAAAGACTTAGGAAAGAAAAGTAAACCCCTCCCTTATTTAGATATTTAACAAAATATTTTTCTTGTTTAGATAATGAAATATTTAACATGTAAATGACATTATTATCCTTTTATATTTTTTATTTATATATTTTTCTTTTTATTTTTTCAAAAAGTATAAAAATTAAACAATTTTCTCTTGCTAAAATATTTTTAAAACAAATTCTCAGTCTTTAACATTTTTTGAAATTTTTTTATTTTTATTTTCTTGCTATTCTAATTCTAGATCATGTTAAATATTGAATCTAACAAATAAAATAGAAATGATAAACTCCACTACATGAGTCGCTAAAATTCTCCAAAATGAGTGAATTAAAAAAAAATGATTAGGAGAGTTTTATGCAGACTTAGAAAAACTCTCTAACTATTCTTCTCATATTTAATTAACTTCTAAATAAATGTTAGTGATCACTAATCCCTCCTTTTCCCTCTTCAAAATGAAATCTAAACAAAGCTTTAGTTTACCCAAGAACACATCTTTTCTCTCTCAAACATAATCAAATAAGCTCAAGTTTCCACCAACTCAAGCCTTATCCCTTTTTCTTTGACTAACAAAGCATAATTTCTCTCTAAATCTTTGACTCAGAGATATATAAACATTTTTACTTTGGAAAGGGGAAACAATTACGATTTTATTGTGTAGTATATTATTTATTTACAAATACCAAAATGTCGATTAATTCTTATAAATATGGCTCCTCTCCGATGAGGGTACTCATGATACAAGTAATTTGATGGATTCAAAATTAAAGTTTCTTTCTAAAATCTATGCATTAAAGTTAACAGAACTATAGAGTGGAGATTCTACCCTCAACATTGAACTTGTTTATAAGCAATTCTCTGTCAACTTAATCTTATCCTTGAACCTTTCTCCCATGTCCCTAATATTTCTTTAAAGTTTAAAAGATATTGATCTTCTAGTAAAATCTAATGCTTTGAAGTTTAAACTACTTGAATTGTCAAGGGCATTACTAGATGTATATAATTCTTTTGCACTCAAAGTAAAAATGCTTATATCTCTCCAATGAAAATAGGGTTATGTGTAGGAACTATAATATTTAATAGATATGAAAGTTAGAGACTAACGTAACATTTTTAAGAGATTAAAATGTCTGATACTTACTATCTTAAGGATCAAATAAAATAAAAATTTATTCATTTTTAAAATATTGATAGTAATATATAGGGGCTGATTAGTGTTAGGCTTGATTTTCTTTTTTTGGAGTTGACTTCATCTAGGCTACTAACAAATGTAGCCTAAATTGTTTTAGAGGGTGAAGGCTTAAAGAAAAAACAAGAGAATGGAGATATTTTTATTTTGTTATCATTATCTTATTTTTTATTTTAATTTATGAATTTTTTGAGGTTGAATTTTGGATAATAAAAATGCCAAATTTAATTGGATTGGACCAAATCGATGACCTAGGTCTAGCACTAGTGAGTTTAAGAAAAATAAATAAAAATTTTAGGCATTGGGCTCGTGGAACCTAGTGTGAAAAAAAACTGTAGGAAAAGAAGTCTGAAATTTTGGGTCGATATCATGTGGCCCACCGAACAAAAAAGTGGGTTTGCATAAAACAAAAAGGGGAAAGGAGCTACTTTTTTTTTAATTAAATTTTATATTTAGCCCATTTTATTGTTTTATTTAATTTGATTCTATTTCAATAAAAATGATTTACTTCTCATATTCATTTTTTTATTCTTTTAAATAATAATAATAATAATAATAACAACAACAACAACAAATATAAAACAAAAAAAATTTAATATTTCTTATTTTGTTATCATTGTGTATAAGATGAAAATAGGCTAGGCTAGATCAGGCTTTGCATAAATAGACTTAATTTGTCTAATAATTTTGAAGTCTAAGCGTATCATAAATTTTTTATTAAGCCTAATCTGACATTTTTAAAAGCCTAATTTGGCCCATTATCTCTTTTGACTTACTTCGTATTGAGACATTTAATAATTTATTAAACTTTCTTATAAATAGACTATTAAATCATTTAAATAAGTATGTCTTTTAAAAGTCATAATGCTTGTATCTAAATAAATTATTAAAAGATGATATAATATAAATAATGTGCAAGATTGTAAAAAAATGATAGATGAGATGAAATGAACTAACAATAAACATAATTGAGACAATGTAATGTAAATCAGTGTTATATTGTTATGTGTATAAGATATGTAAAAAATTCTAGCAAGGAAAGCTCTTTCTCTCTTAGGGTACACAATAGAGACATTCTTTAATTTTAACAAAAAGATTATTATTTTTAATTTAAAATTTTATTATTTTAAAATTTAATTAATTTAATATATTATAATTTTATATAAAATTATTTAATATATTATTATAAATTTTAAATAGGTCATTCTAATAAGCTTAATAGACTTTTTCTTAAGTTTAAGTCTAGCTTATTTAATTAATTAAATTTTTTTAAAAAGTTTATTAATTAAATAGATTAGCTCGGTTTAGGCCTTAAATAGCTTATTAATTAAATAGCTCTATCGGACAACCTAAAATATTTTCATTCCTAATTTTGTATCTTGTTGAGTTATAATTTTTATATAAGATAGTTTATTAATTCATAAAAATTAAAATCATACATTCACTTCTACATTAATTTTAAAATTTATATTTATTTTTTAAAACTTTATACAGTTAATAATTTTAATATTTGTCTTTTAGATAATAAATTTTAGTTTTTACAAATAATTATAGAAATAACAATAAAAGAGGATTAAAAAATGATAGAAATATTAATTTTTGTTTTTCTGATCATGTTATATTTGTCTTTTAATTTTTATTTGTGAACTTTTATCTCTTGTAACATCCTCAATTTATTTGACTTGTTTTTGAAAAAAAATAGATATTTTGGCACAAGATTTTTTGTTGTAGCAAGAAAGAACATTTTGAACTAGGTCCTTTAGAGCCCTTTCACTGTAGCAAATGAGTTTTGTTGTGGTGAGAAGTGGATCAGGATGACTTAACAACACTAGCATGGTAGATAGGATTCTCGTTGTAACTAGAATGACAAACAACAAGAAAAAAATATTGTGAAATTTTTTCGCTGTAGCGAGAAAGTTGCGAGCTTGAGGGATATTTAAAAAACTTTCATATTAGAAACTTCAATTTTTTAAGTCAAATAACTTCTATCTTGTTTCTCTTTATTCTCTTACCTTCCCTTTTCGGAGAAAATTCTTTCAAATTTTGAATCTTTTTCAGATTTGAGCTTGAAAGCTTATTCCTTCTGATCCTAAGTAAGTTTTTCGGAGCTTAGTTTTCCAAGCTCTATTCTATTTCTTTATTTTCTCTCTTTTTAAAAGTGTGCTTTTTTGTGATATCTAGGAAAAATTTTGGTTCTTGGATGGTATCCCTGATTATAATTTTACGTTTCCTCTAAATCTTGCGAAGAACATAGTTTTAGAGACATATTTTCAAATAAAGAGAGTTGATTCCAAACCCTAACTTCTACTTATGCATTTTTGGATTAAAAACCTTTATTTTCACTTGATTTATAAAACTCTAATATTTTTTTATAAGGTTTCAATATTAAAGATGAAGTTTTTGAACATGAAAAAAAATTGACATTGTTAGTAAAAAAAAAGCTCTTCTTTTTATAGATAAGATATGATTTAGGAATTAGATAAATATTTTTATAATTATAATAAATTTTTATAATTGATTTAAGATAATTATTATTTAAATGAACATTGTGGAATAAAAATACTTTTTTTATGCATAAATAATTTCTGAACTCACGTGATTTTAAAAATCATTATTTTCTTAAAAAGTTTTTTCTCTCAAACTCTCCTTTAAAATAAATTTTGGTGATCATTCCTCTAATTATTTTTAAATATTTATGTTTAATCTATATTTTTTTAAAAAACTAGCTCATTGTCTTGTTAGAATCCTATTGAAATACCTTGGATGATAAATAAAGATTATGCTTGAGTAAAAAATTAATAAAAAAATATAAAAAATTATTAAATTGAGTTTATTTTGTAAAATTACTATTTTTAATTTATTTGAATGGTATATTTTTACAATATAATATTACTTTATTTTTTATTGTGTTACACTATTTATTTATAAATAATTATTTTATTTTTTTATTATATATATATATATTAAAAATAATTTATTATGATCAATCGAAGCATAGTTAGACCAGTGATTTTTGTTGCTATCATGATTTGTTAAACATGGATAAGTAGAAAAAAAATTCCACTTCCATTCCATCCAATGCAAACATACACACTTTCCTAGTAATTAGAAGTTATCAAAATAGACCGAACCAACAAGCAACTAAAACAATCCATTAAAATATGGCTGCGGTAGGATTGTACTGGGCCCAATCCAGCCCAAAGTTCACATCGATGGCCCAATAAGTCACTCTAACCTCAAAAAAAAAATTCCCCTATCAAATAAATTTGACTAAAATAAAATAAAATAAAATAAAATAACGCCAAAGGGACTGGGTTCTTCCTCAATGTCACTCTAATCTAGTTCGCTGTTTGGATAGTGGGAAACTGAAGGAAAGTGAGGAAAAGTGGGTCTAAGAATTTGAATTTGGAGGTAACAAAATTGTTCATTTCCTACACCCACTAATTATCTACCTCATCGTTAAAGCCTCCAATGTCCCTATATTTCGCTTTTCTTTCTTTCTTTTATCTTGGTGCTTTTCACTTTGGCATGTCAATTTAGAATCATTATATATAAGAAGTTGTCATCATGCAATGGTCGTGAGCTGTTCGATAAAATGCTTCAGTATTTCATATATGTTTTAAAGTTGTGCAGAATTGGTTTTAATATAACTAATTTTGAACTTTTGAGTGTAATTGAGATATAGTAAAATAAATTGGCCCTAAATGAAACAAGAAAATAAAAATTATTGTGTGCTTAAATAGTTATCTGAGCTAGTTGTAGTCATGTGTGGAATTTTGACTGATTTTCTTAGTTGGTTCTTATCTGTGATCGTAGAAGGTAGATGAGATTATGTAATCGACTTTTGGATATTAGATATAACATTTGCTTATTTTGCAGTAACTACTCTGTGAAATGGAAGATCCATCGTTTTTCAATCGGATGATCAGTCATCTTCGCACAACTTGCAAGTATTACTTCCTGCATATGAGCTTAACTGCTAGTGTCGCTGCTGAAAATGACTGTATTTTGTTCATTATAGTATAGAACCGCTGTAGTCATTTAATTGAAGGATGGTTCAGTCATATCTACAAAGATTAGGGAGAAAATTTCAAATCTTTATATATTACTAATAAAGTTCACTAGGCTGCCTATGGTACAATAGTTTGCATAATTCCAATTATAGCTGTGCTGTTACGGCATGATGCTGCTCTGATGCGTTATTCTTGGAGCAGTATCACATCATATGATTCTGTCTATTCTTGGAACTTTTGTGATAATGTTAGGTACTATACTGGCTATCCAAAGGATCTTGGACCATCAAGGGTTATTCATTTTACCTCTGAACGTGAGTTTGTCAACCTTCTTCACGAAGGTTTTCCCGTGGTTGTTGCGTTTACTATCAGGTGATCTGAAGTTAGCTTCAGAATTCTTATTTGCTTATCCCAATTTGAAGTTGTCTTCAGGTCTGAATGGAAAAGAATTAGGAATAACTACTTGCTATTTGATAATGCAGGGGGAATTACACTCGACATCTTGACAAAGTAATAGAAGAAGCTGCTGCTGAATTTTATCCACATGTTAAATTTATGCGAGTAAGTTATTTTTCATTAACTCACTCTGCAATTGTTGGAAATCGTGTGAATAACATCATGATGCAGCATAGCACCTGTATGACTGTCTCATCAAATAGAATCACAAAAATACAGACACATTTACTCACTGTAGAATTCATTGTTCATCAATTTTCAGCAATCCCTTCTTTCCATTTTATTACCCATGGTTATTATTAATTTTATTGGGTTTTGGCTACTAATTTTCTGTGCCATCTGTAGCATTGTTATTGCACATTGATGAACTTGTTATTTTATTGTGCTTTGCAGGTTGAATGTCCAAAATATCCTGGGTTTTGTATAACTCGGCAGAAAAATGAGTATCCATTCATTGAAATATTTCATAGCCCAACACAAGTATGGTGTTCCTTAACTGTTCATTACTGTCTCATCACTTCACTACCTAAATTGCTGATGTGAAGAAGTTGTAAAAAATTCTTAGTGTAATAATTATGCTGAAAGCATATATTCTGTGGCAATAATCTTTATTCATAGGTTAATCTGTTCAGTGACTGTACCACTCCATATAAATATTTTTTTGTAATTTGAGACTCGCGTTCTTTGATACAGGCAGCTAACCAGGGAAGGGTAGCTGATCCAAACATTAGTAGATACAATGTGAAGGTTTTGCCTGTAAGTTTTTTCATTCTCTAGGTGGCACCTTGCAAGTTCTTTTCAGGCAAACTGTAGCATCTATTACTGATTATGATTATTAATATTTTGAGCTCCTTCTCTCAAATAAATATGTAAAATGAATCTGGTGCTAAATCTAGTAATCAACCATTAAGTGACTGGAATACGTAAAATAATTTTTTTCGTACTTCCTGGCTAATATAGTTGCTTCTATTTGTCAAATATTGCGATATTTTGTCTGATTTCATTTTATTTATGCACTTGCAGTTCAACTACGACGTTAGTGCTTATGGATTTAGAGAATTCTTCAAGCGACATGGTATACAGTCATCAGATTTGAAGTAAGGATCCTGTTTTATCAATCTGTATATCATCATTCATCACAAGTTCACAACTTAAGGCCGATAGATGGAGAGTTATATATATGTACCTGTATAATGGTTGCTCGAACCTATAATTTGGTTTAAGTTCTCGTCAGGACCATTTCCAGGTTAAGGTTCTCCAACTTCTAGAGTAGAATCTACGAGTGCTTATGGATTTACCAAACATTGGATTTCGATCTTATGTAGATGCTTGTTTGTGCTAATTTTTGGAAGTAAGTCATTATTTACCAGAGTGCATCAGCTTAAGTTTTATTTTTTAATATATATTTACATGTAGCAGATTGATTTGAGCTTTCTCTTCACACCTTTCTACAAAGTACATGAAAGCTAGAGGTTTCTTTGAGCTGCTTCTAGCAATATCCTTTTTTTTTTTTTTTTAATTACATTTTTTTCTTCAAAAGAGGATCTCTTAGTATCTTTCACTAAAGACAACCAAGTTCGAAGAATTTAACACAAATACATTTCTATTATTCAAATTCAAGAAAATTGGTTAAACTAAAATAATCTTGTGCACTTCCATATTCAAATCTATGCCCTCCATGGTTAAGTGGGAACAGCTATTTGTTTTAGAATTTTTTTTTCTTATGATATGCTTGATATTGTTTTGGTTACAAAATAAGTGGCAGATATTTTTTATATATCATATTAGAGAATGTGGTACGAAATTGGTATGGAACTGACTTTGTTATCGCAAATAATTTTAATGTTTTTACCAAACATAAAGTTGTTGACAACGTAGTCATAAACATTATTTATTGTAACTTTACAAATCAGTTTAGCAAATAGCCTTTGCTTAGCACTGTTTGAAGAAAATCAAGGAAAAATTCAGACTTCTTCTATAATAATAATAATAATAATAATAATATAGCGATATTCTCATAATTTGTTTACAAAATTTTTCTTGCGGGTGTATATTTGAGATGAAATACCAGCGTATTTCAACCCCAAACATTACCCATTTTGTTTTTAGCTTGAGGAGGAAAAGTTGGTGAGAGGTTCTAACTGTCAACCAAATGGGCTATGATGTAAGCAAATCGAAGTCGACTAACGCTTGGGAGCTGAACTTGAGATCAAATATGATAGAATTGACACCTAAAATTGACATAAGGCTAAAGCAAGAGGCTAACGTGTTAGGCTAACATTTGAATTTTTAGATAAGATTCTTTCAAAAATATTTTACATTATTTTTTTTGTCATTAAAAATATTTAAAGTAATCCAAATACTGACGCACATTTTCAGGTAAAACAGTTGAGCAGCAGTAATTCGAACGTTTCACAACCATACACAAGTCCCGTTTAGCTCATAACACTGAAATGTAAATAAATCCTCTGTAACTTTTGGCTATTTTTATATAATTTTCTTTATGGTATGTTTAGAAGATGGTTTTTTGGAAGGGATAGAAGGAGATGATATATTTTTTACTTTTTAATTAAGAGAATTATAAAAATTTACGATGATAAATGCATAATTAATATATTAAATTTATGTAAATATAACAATTTATATTTTTATTTAAAAAATATTAATTTTAAATATATTTATATAAAATAGAAAATTTACCCCTCTTCTTAATAACTCTTATATAGATAGATATTATGCACATTTAATTTTAATAGGTTGAAAGTGATAACAATTAGTCAATTACGCCTAAGGAAAAACAGCTATGAAGTTTATAATTCCTTGTTCATGTATTTTTAATTTTAGCTTCTAAACAAAAACATTGTCTTCTATTTGTTGAAAATGTAATCAATGATATTATTCTATTTGTTGTCAGAAATTCTAGAACCTTGCATTAATATAATAATTCTGCTTATTTAACTTGGTCCAAAAAATTGCCCCCAAAGCCATGATCTTCTACTACGTCATCACCTAACTAAACCAAACTGGATGCTCCAATCAAACACTAACATGATACAATCAAATACATATTATCACATTTCATGTTTGCAAAACTTTCTTCTTTTGTTTTTCTCTGTTAAAATTTGTCAGATTTAATAGAATTTCCAACCTGATGAGTTTAGAAATAATAGCAAGGAAATTGGTTAATAAGTTAATGAAATAATGTCATAGGAATGCAAGAAAGAATTGTCGAAATGCTTCAATTGATGAGTTAAATGTCTCAGATAACCTACCTCTACCAAACATGTTAACATCTACAACAATATAACAGTCAACTTGGTTGTTTCAACTTCCATTTCTTCTAAACCTGAACATTATTCTTCCAAAAAATGTTGCCTTCTTAAGCTCACTTTTCTCCCACAGAATAATCAAACCCACACAATGGCAACTTGCTTGAAGCCACCTAGGCTATCTAGCACTGAAGATGATTCTGTGATACTCTTTTCAACTTCTAATTCTCCTGAAGAGTCCATTAGTCCTTCTTCTTCTTTCTACCATTCACCACCACCAACGCTACATTACTTCAGAACTGCATACAAACTTTGTGTGAGAAATCTCTCTTACACTTTGCACCCTCATAAGACCACTCCCTTTTCATTTTGTCACTTGGCTCAAAAACCAAAGCCTGAAACGAGTATACTCAATTCAGTCTCTTTTGGTGCCAGAAGTTCTGAGATTGTTGCTGTTGTTGGTCCTAGTGGCACAGGGAAGTCTACTCTTCTGCGAATAATTGCGGGGAGGGTGAAAGATAAGGATTTTGATCCAAAATGTATCTCAATCAATGATCACCCTATGACTAGTCCTGCTCAGTTGAGGAAGATATGTGGCTTTGTGGCACAAGAGGATAATTTGCTTCCTATGCTAACTGTGAAAGAAACTTTGTTGTTTAGTGCCAAGTTTAGGCTAAAAGAAATGACACCGAAAGATAAAGAATTGAGGGTAGAAAGCTTGTTGCAAGAGCTAGGCCTTTTTCATGTTGCAGATAGTTTTGTTGGAGATGAAGAGAATAGAGGGATATCTGGTGGAGAGAGGAAAAGGGTGTCAATTGGAGTAGACATGATTCACAACCCTCCAATTTTACTCCTAGATGAGCCAACATCAGGTCTTGACAGCAGTTCAGCTTTGCAGGTGATAGAGCTTCTATCATCAATGGCTAAAGCAAAGAAAAGGACAGTGGTTCTTTCAATCCACCAACCTAGCTATAGAATATTGCAGTATATTTCCAAGTTCTTGATCCTCTCTCATGGTTCAGTTGTTCACAATGGTAGCCTTGAACTGCTAGAGGAAACCATAACTAAATTGGGATTTCAAATTCCAATACAACTCAATGCCTTAGAATTCTCCATGGAAATCATTTGCAGGTTAGAAGATTCTAGTTCCAAATGTGACGCTTGCACCATTGAGGAAAAGGATCCATTTCCAAACTCCATGTGGCCAGAGGAAGAAAATGGTGTAGTACAATCACAATATAGCAAGGAAAGTTTTGGCAGATTTTGTTATGTAAACTTGATTGAGATATTGTTTCTATGCTCAAGATTTTGGAAGATCATTTATAGAACAAAGCAGCTTTTCTTGGCAAGAACAATGCAAGCACTAGTTGGTGGATTTGGGCTAGGAAGTGTTTATATAAAGGTAAGGAAGGATGAAGGAGGAGTTGCTGAAAGGCTAGGTTTGTTTGCATTTAGCCTTAGTTTTCTCCTATCTTCTACAGTTGAAGCACTTCCAATATACCTTCAAGAGAGGAGTGTTCTAATGAAAGAAGCCTCAAGGGGAGCCTATAGAATTTCCTCTTACATGATAGCCAACACTTTTGTCTTTCTTCCTTTCTTGTTTGTAGTATCTATACTCTTTGCAGTTCCTGTGTATTGGCTTGTAGGACTCAACCCTTCCCTTTCTGCCTTTGCCTTCTTCACTTTTGTGGTATGGCTAATTGTGCTCATGGCAAGTTCTCTAGTACTCTTCTTAAGTGCAGTTTCTCCTGATTTCATTTCAGGGAATTCCCTCATATGCACAGTTCTTGGAGCCTTTTTTCTCTTCTCTGGATACTTCATACCAAAGGAGAGCATTCCAAAGTATTGGCTTTTCATGTACTATGTTTCACTCTACAGATACCCTTTGGATGCACTCCTCACAAATGAATATTGGAATGTGAGAAATAAGTGTTTCTCACATCAAACTGAGGGATCCCAGTGTTTGATCACTGGCTTTGATGTGTTGAACAGTAGAGGACTTGAAAGGGATAGTAGGTGGATGAATGTGGGAATAATGCTAGGATTCTTTGTGTTGTATCGTGTGTTTTGTTGGATAGTACTTGCACGAAAGGCCTCCAAGACAACAGTATAACAAGTGTTCCAAAGCTACATCATCAGTCATATATTGAAACAAAACATGGGCTTCAAATGAATGCCAACTTTGTTAGAGTTTACAATACATTAAGAAGAGACTTTGCTCCAATGCCCATAATGTAGTGCACGTGTGACAGAACAGGCCTTGTACTCAAAACCAATTATTTTCCAGTTTCAAGCGCCATTGATTGTATCATATGAAATTCCAAAGCTACAGATTTATTCTAGGAATGTGTCTTGTCACTGTCTCATTGTAGTTGTCCTCTTTCCTTTGTCATTTTCAATATGATGGATGAAAACCTGAATAACTTGTTTGAATGGGAGACAATTCTATTGGGCAGAGGTTGAGAATATGGTTTGCAACCAAAGTCACCAAAGGCAATATTTTCCCACCAAAGTCACCAACATGTGTTGGTTTCAGTGAAAGAGATGTTCACAATGCGTATTCAACAAATTGATTGATGTAACAAAGAAAAACAAAAAAAGAAATTGACCTAATATCAGCACATGATTGGTAATTAAGGTAAAACAGAACTTGTATAAGTACTGCAAACACACATTTGATCTTGACTCTTAAGAATTTTGTTTCCTCAAATAGGTTTATCAACTTTAGTTAAATTAATTAAGGTCTGATGTAACTTATAAATATTAAGGTTTCTAATAAAGACATTATTTTTAATAAAAAAAAGATGAAAAAAACAATCTGACAGCCCGAACAAAATTAAAAAAAAAAAATATATACTGATAATGTTTGAGTGAAAGATAATTTAATCTATTATGCATGTAGCAATAGGTTCAAGCTCACGAAACACACACAACTAAGAGGGACTATTGTCTTTGACATCCCTCTAAAACATAAAAAAGAAAGAAATAAAAAGGTAAATTGTGAGCAT